CGTGCTGTGCTCGGGCAGGCTGCCGAAGGCTTGTTTTTCCCCTGGAGGCTGGCCCAGTGACGTCTCGGAGGCGTTAGCGCAGCGGGAGGAAAGTAGCAGTGTCGTGACTTCCACTTTTCTTTACTGTCCACCCACTCAGCCACAGCTAATCTCGCAGCCCGGGCTGGGCATTTCCTACAAGCAGCCTTAAAGGAAGAGCTCTGGGGGCTTTTCTGAACAAACCGGTACACTGCTGAGAAAGGGAAAATAGGAGTAAATCATGTGTCTGCCATTGCTGTTTCATTATTAAATGAGATGTTAGAAGCACAGCACTGAGGGTGCCCCGTCACAGGGCTTTTACCGAGCACAGCACCTGCCCGGCAGTGTCCCCTCAGCCCTGTGCCCTGTCCTGCCAGTGGCTAAAGCCGCCGGGTCACAGCCAGCCCTGGGGAGCGCTGCAGCTCTAGGAGGGGTTCTTGTTTTCCCTCCTTTGGGCTCAGCCCGTACCCTCCTGCTTCAGTCTGCAATTCCCCATGTCCCATTTCTGGGGCCAAGCGACAACCGCTGTCCTGCCACCCCCTCCGCGGGCGGGTGGCGTCGCAGGCTCTGAAGCCGGGTGCGGCGGAGGGGGCTGTAAGCTGTCCCCAGGGCTCTGGCAGTGTCCTGGCCAGAGCCCCACAGCCACGTCCTGCCTGTCTGGTGATGCTGGCGTCAGGTGCTAGGACGTAAATTACCACCGAGCACACTGCAAGTCCTCTGCTTTGCCTTCTGGCAGGTTACACTACAACAGAGCTTGCTCGAGGGCTTTCCTGGGGCCGGTGCAAACCCAGGGCTCTTCATGTGACTTGTCTTGAGAAGAGGAATTTCCCACTGGGGAATTGGTGGAAAGGACAGAGATAAAAGAGCAAGAGAAACCGAGAATGCTCTGGACAGCCTGGGAAAGCTTCAGAGCAGTGGCTGGCTCGGTGGGCATAGAGGCGCAGGACCTCGTGTCCCTTTGCCACGGCAGCACAGCTCCTCAAAGAGCCATCTTAAATGCCCAAAGTTGGAGATTTCTGCTTTGTTCCATGACTCATCCTTCCTGTTAAAGCCAGCGGGCTTCCACGAACTGGCAGCCTTGCCAGAACACCAGCAAGTTCCTCGGCTGCGGGGTGCATCCAGCGGTGCTGCCGAGCCACCTGCTGCCTGGTGGATGGCACGACACGGTGCCATGCCTGTCTCTCGTGGCACCCAGGGCAACACAGGCTCCGCTGGGGCCGTAGGGAATACGGGCACGGGGCGGTGGTGCTGGGTGCCCGGCAGCGGGGAGAGGGTCTCCCTCGCCGACGGCCGTTCCTCTGCTGAGGGCAGCCGTAGGGCCGGGCCGGGGGGCGGCTGAGCAGCAGATCCCCTCCCTGGCTTCACTCCGGCTCGGCTTTACTCTCCTCTCTTTGGGAGACCAGGTGATGTCCTGTTATTCTGCTCTCAGCCTGTGAGTCAGATCGGGCATCCACTGAGTTTAGGAGTCCCGAGATGAAGCACAGCCCATCCCACACAAAGCCACAGTTCGCGTTTCAGGTAAAGGAATGAAAATCAAAAGCAATGGGACCAAAAATGAGGAAGGAGGGAGCCTTCGGGAAAAGACACTGTGGGGCTGGTCGTGTGGGTGAGGCGGTTCAGAGGCTTGGGAGAAATGGTTGGCAATTTAGGGGAAAATGAGACGGGCTGAGGAGAAATGACAGTTCTGCTGAACGCTCGGATGGTGAGCGCGGCAGCCACCCCGCGGTGCTCGTGCTGGCACCCGAGCTGCTGAGGGACGCGGGCACTGCCAGGTGCCACGGGACGAGCTGGCACTGGGGCAGTGAGGCAGTGTGCCCACACGCTGCCCGCTCCGGGGCTCGCCGTGCAGATGCTGCCCAGGATCCCCATCTTGTCAGTGCTTTCCCCTCGCCCTCCCTGAAACGCCACCCAGCACCCTCGAAGCTGCAGACTTCATGTGTCCGTGCTACCTTTGCTGGCACCGGCTCTGCTGCGAGGGGCCCCGGGAGCCGCTGTCTCGCAGGGAAAGGAGGGCAGAGCCCTCTTCCCAGCCCGAGGCAGGCGGGCACAGCAGCCCTGTCCTGCGGCCACGCGCTGTGCTGGGGCACCCTGCAGCCCCTGCAGGGGCAGGGGACCCGGCGGTAGCCACAGATGAGCTTTGCATCAGGTGCCGCTGACCACCCGAAGCACCGCATCGAAACCAAAGCATCACAGAAAGGAGCAGCCCCACGGTTTCAGTGTCAGCAGGAGAGGTTTTGAGTTCATGCGTCAAACCAGCCCTCGAGAACGCTGCCGAGTTTCCTTTTCATCTCCAAAATAATTGAACGATCTTTGAATAGGAATAGCCCTGTTTTTAATAACTCAGAAATCACCTGAGTCAGAACCTCACAGCAGGTCTTTCCTCTGTGTTATCCTCTTCCCTTCCCAATTCCCTCACGCCTGGAGGTCGGAGCAGAGAGCGGAGGAGCTGCCGGGCTCTCCTGGGCTGGCAGCGCTGGCTCCAGCCATGTGTTATTCTTAGCACCTCAGTTTGCTAGCTGGGAGGGCAGGAGGGTGCAGCAGGGCATATCGGAGCAGTTACCAGCAAGAAAGCGCGAGGATTGCACCCGGGAGGTGTCGCACACGCGTGACATTTAACGCCAGGTTGCCGGGGTCAAGCCCAGACACACGGTTCTCTGTAACTTGCTTTCCGTAGGTGGCTTTGTAGAAACAGCAGCAAGCAATCATTTCTGGAGCTGCCACCTGGAGCTGCTTTCTGAAAATCCCTTTTCAGAAGAGGCCGTGGCTTCTCGCCAGCCCAGGGCTGTGCGGGGACGCGGCTTGCCGCTTGCCCGGCCCCTGCCTCCCTCTGCCGCCGGACCCCAGCGGGGCAGAGCCCTCGCAGGCACGGCGGCGCTGCAAAAAGCAAACAAAAACCTGTGAAAACTAAAGAGGAGTGTGCTGCGGAGCCAGGGCTGGCTCAGAAAGCACCCTGGAAGCAGGGAAAGCCCAGAGCAGGTGGCCTGGCTCGTGGCCACCACCAGGGAAGTGTTTGCCCTGTGCGCTGGACCAGCCAGGGCAGCGAGGCTCTGGGTGGGCTCATCGGAGAGAGGCAGGCAAAGGGCTTGACGGTGACCTTGCCACAAGAAAATAGGAGTAAACACCAAGATCGGGATGGACTCAGGGACTGGTCTTCTCCTCCGAGCTCCCTGATCCCCCTCTCTGGCCGCCAGGCTTTGGCCCCAGGCTGTGCGTGGGAGAAGGGCGGGAACTGACCCCTCTGGAAAGGGACGGGATGGGATGGGGAGCCCCGGGGCGGGGTGGAGGGGACAGCGGGATCCATCCCGGGCTTTTCAACATTGAAATCCAAGGCGCTCTGGAGAAGGTTTCCTCCGAGCCTGGACAGCCCTGCTTGTCTCCTGCCCTTCCGATGAGCCGGTGTGGGTGGGGAGCAGGATGAATAAGGGACTTATGCTATGAATAATGCCGGGAGAAATGTGCCTGGAAAACAGAGTGTCGGGATGGGGCTCACAGGAGGTACCACGCCGCCAGACAGAGCCTCCCGGGACCGGGCCATAGGAGAGGTTGCTCTCCTCTCTCCGAGCCACAGGCAGGCAGGAACAGAGCCATTTCTTGCAATGACCTCTTATCCCAGAGACGGCTCATCCCCCCGCTGGCCGAAGCTGGGAGCAGCCTGAGTTACGCGAAGCACCAGCTGCATCTCTGGGAAACCATCCTGCCTCTCTGCCGTGCAGTGCAGAGCCGAGACCGCGGTGCAGTGCCGGGTGGCGAGGGGGACAGGCATGGGCTCCGTCATCCGCCCCGCAGCCGCTCCTCCGGCAGCCAGGCGCTGGGGCGAGCGGGGCATGTGGCACCGAGGGTCATCATCTGGCAGTCTGGGCATCAGAAAGCACACGGTGGAGCTGGACCTTTTTCCTTTTAACCTGGATATTTTCACCTCTTTCTTCCAGATGTGAGTTCTGGGTTAAGCAAAGCATCTCCTAGCTCAGGCCCACGGAGGAAGCAGGAGATCGCTGCCTTCTCCTTGCACAGTGCGGAAGCATCGCTCCGTTAGCCAAGGAGTGAAAAAGCCTCCAGAGAAACTGAAGGGGAACGGCATTTCATTTCCCTCAAAACAGGGCATTTGGGACTTCTCGGTCACCTGGGGAGCACGAGAGGGTTTGTGCTGGGGTTGGACCTGGCTGTGCATCCCCTCCTCTCCCATCCTCAGCTGGCACATGGAGCCCTCGGCTGGGACAGGGGAGGGGCGGGCGGGCGCCCGGGGGGGCTCCCGGGGGA